CAGGGATACGGTAGGGGGGCTGTCGTAACGGGGTCTGTCCAGGGGTCTCTACCTTATGCACAGCTAGGGTGGTATAACCTGGTTCCTGGGAGAACGTCGCCTGCTTCTCCCATAACAACTGCTGCGCCTGTACCCTTTCTGTGGGGTTCAACCGGTCCCCTAGCTGTACAAGGGTAGTAAGGTCAGTCTGGGAATCCCTTTCTAATAGATCTGGAAGGGGTAAGTTCTCAGAATCATCTGCAGCTGGGGCACATACTGCTGCAATATTCTCAGGTCTCTCCTGGTACTCTTTCAGCATGTTCACATGAAAGGACCGCTGGATCCTTTCATCTGCGCAGCTGGCTATCAAGTAAGTAGTGTCGCAGATCTGCGCCACTACCTTGTACGGGCCCTGCCAAGATGCCTGCATCTTGTTGGCCTTCACAGGTTTAAGCACCAATACCTTTTGCCCAACCTGGAAGACCCGCTGTCGGGCACCCTGATCGTACCATCTCTTCTGTCTCCCCTGGGCCGCCTGGAGATTCTCCCTTACCATCAGGGACAGTTTCTCCATGCGGTCCCGGAGTTCCAGAACATATGGTACTATGGGGGTCCCCTCCTGCTCCGTCTCCCCCTCCCAGTGGCCCCGGATGAGATCTAGGGGTCCGCGGACCCGTCTCCCATACAGCAGCTCAAAGGGGGAGAACCCAGTAGATTCCTGGGGCACCTCTCTATAAGAAAATAATAGATGAGGCAGGAATCTCTCCCAGTCTCTGCAAGTGTCTGTAAAGGTCCTCAGCATCTGTTTGAGGGTACCGTTAAAGCGCTCGCAGAGACCGTTAGTCTGTGGGTGGTAGGGTGAGCTAAGTAACGGCTTAATGCCGCACACCTTCCACAGTTGCTGGGTGAGCACAGCGGTGAATTGGGTTCCCTGGTCGGAGAGGATCTCCTTAGGGAACCCGACCCTAGTAAAAATTCTAACCAGGGCATCAGCAACCGTCTCTGCCTCTATGTTAGACAGCGCTACTGCCTCTGGATAGCGGGTGGCATAGTCTACCACGGTAAGAACATACTTCTTACCGGATGGACTAGCCCTGGCCAGTGGACCCACAATGTCAACGGCTATGCGGGCAAAGGGCTCCCCTATAATAGGCATCGATAGTAGCCTAGCCTTAGGGTGGTCCCCCCGCTTTCCTACCCGTTGACATGTGTCACACGTGCTGCAGTACATCCGCACAGCCTGGTTAAAGTTTGGCCAAAAGAAGTTCTGTGAAATCCTATAGGCTGTGCGGCGGGACCCTAGATGTCCAGCTAAAGGAACATCATGCCCTATCCGCAGAATCTCCTGCCGGTACTTTGCAGGTACCACTAACTGGCGATTCGGCGGAGTGGCAACACTCTTCTGGGAAGGTTTAGGGATCCTATACAACCTGTCCCCCACCCACTCATACCGTTCCCCATCTATTCCTTCCTCCCCAGCATCTGCCCTGTCCTTGTATCTTTGGAGGGTCGGATCTGCCCGGGTTTCCCTCCCAAACTCCTCTGGGGAATCCCAGCTTAAGGGAACCTGATCTGGGGTACCAGTCGGGGAAGGAGATCTTACCTGGGTCTCGTCAGCAAGTGGGCTGGTTCCGGCAGCACGGGTCTGGGCACGGGTGGTCACTGGGTTCACATCTGCAGGGCCCATCGGAGCATAGGCTGAAACCAAAGGGGCCAAATCGTTTCCCAAAAGAACATCTGCGGGCAAGTCCTTCATCACCCCCACATCCACATGTCTAGCGCCCACTCCCCAATCCAAATGTACTCGGGCAACAGGTAAGCGAAACACGGCACCCCCTGCTACCCTTACTGCCACAGTGTCCCCAGTGTGCTGATGCTCTGAGACCAAGTTCTTTTGGAGCAGTGTCATCGTGGCTCCTGTGTCTCTCAGCCCATTCACCACTCTGCCATTCAGCTTCACAGTTTGCCGATGTTGCTGGCGATTATCCTGGTGAGCTGCTTGCACTGGGTCTGCCTCGTGTAGAATGCCCCAAAATTCCTCCTGCTCTAGGCAGTGAGCAGCAGGCTGCGGTGGATGCTGGTTTCCATTAACTGGTCTCCTCCAGGACTGAGCCTGGTTGGCACTGTTCAGTGGGCACTCAGGACGCTTGTGCCCCAACTGCTTGCACCCATAGCACCGGATGGGTTGTGAGTACTCCCGGGCATTAAATCGGGCTGGTTGTATATAATTGTTAGCTGGTGGAGCGGCTGGGGTACGGTGTACTGGGGGTTGGTAGACTGCAGGAGCGGGTGTTACTGCTGGTCGATACTCCAGTCTGGCAGGGGCTTTAGCAGCTGTACCATCCAACTTGCGGGCATCCGTGTATTCGTCTGCCAGACGGGCAGCCTCGGGTAGGGTAGAGGGTTTTCTGTCTCTGACCCATTCCCGGACCCCAGCAGGTAGTCTATCAAAACAGTGCTCCAGCAGGAACACTTGTAACACCTCCTCCCCAGTTACCGCTTGGCATCCAGCCATCCAGTGGGCTGCGGTACGATGGACTCTGCAGGCCCATTCCACATAAGAGTCCCCAACCAGCTTGTTGGTTTCTCTAAACCTCCGCCTGTACGCCTCTGGGGTCACTGCATACCTGGCTAGGAGCGCCTCTTTCACAGCCCGATAGCTGGTGATCTCCTCCTCTGGGATGGCCCGAAAAGCTTCACTAGCCCGGCCAGATAATTTCCCAGAGAGGATGGTGACCCATTCATCTGCAGGTACCTGATGTAGCGCACACTGCCTCTCAAAGTCTGCCAAAAATCCATCAATCTCTCCCTCTGTTTCCACAAAATTTTTAAAGGCAGCAAAAGGTACCTTCTTTCTGGCAACCACATTATTGTCATACGGTACCTCTGCTGCTGCAGCTCCTCTTTCCCGGGCCGCCTGTTGTGCTGCAACTGCTGCCTGCACACGAACCACGATGTCAGCTGGGGGGTTGGGGCCAAAATGTGCCAGCCTTATTTGTACTGCCCGGTTGAATTGTATTTCCTCGGGTGTTAAATCCAAGGTACTGGGCACGTTGACTCTTTCCATTCCCGTTGCTGCATCCATCTCCATTAGCAAAGCAATAATCTCCCGTTTCTTTAAATTGCTTGCTGACCTTCCTCGGCGTTCCAATATGTCCTTAAGTGTAGCACGCCTTAATTCCTCGTACTGCATGTCTCGTAGCTGACCTCCAATGCTGTAGGATTCATCCCGTCGCTTGCCACCAATTGTTAAGACACCTCCCGTGTCTTTAAGCCAAACCGCCGTTTAGTAAACCTTCCCCGGCTGCAGTACAGTCTCTGTTCGCTTACTCTGTAACCCACGAACCAAATGCAGGGGAAGCGGCAATCTCCCGATCGAAATCCACGAACGGCTCCAAACTCCCGAACGGCAATATACGAACTGCTAGGAACCGTCGAACAATAATATCCCCAAAGCGGCTTTCGTTCCATCCAGCAGTCTCTAAACGTGAAGAAGAAATCCCCCCAATAACGAGACAGAAGCTCCGCATTGAGGGTCAAATAAGATCTGGGTTTACTGTGGGCTACCTGCCCGTATTTATGCAGGTCTCCCACCTGGTGGACACTCCCCTAGGGGACCAAATGGAAGACTTAAAGTACAGACAGATAGAAGGACATTTCTGACACACAGTCACATATCTTACCCACAGTGCATTCTGATTCCCTCCCCTCTGTCCTGGAGTTAATTACCAAGTAACTCAATTAACTCCAGGACAAGGACAGTCGCCATTTTAAACATAAAATAATAAAAGACATAAAAATGCATAACTACATGAAAACTGAACATTTCCCATTCGTATTACATGTCCCCAGATAGCCTGGATCTGAGTGCATATTATTGGCGAATAGCGCTCAGATCCCACACACATAGTTCAATCGCCATGGAGTCAAAGTTCTTACAGTCCTTCGGTATACGAATGACTCCATGGGTGGGCTATCTGGGTTAAGTCTTTTGTATGCTCTCAATCTCCCGAACAGCCGGTGTTCGCATGCTTTCGTGGAGGCAGCCAGGCGTTCCCTTGTTTCAGCGGTGTTCGACAGAAAAAGTGTCCGTTTTCCGTTCCATAGAAATAGAGCCAAACACCGCTGGACGTTCGCATGATTTAAAATGGCCGCTGCCTCGTGGTCGACATACGAACGACGACCACCCTGAGTTCGGTTTAATTGAGAAGTGTCTGCGGTTAACCACAACGTTATAATGGTGATCACTTCGTTAACCTGCAGCACACTCCTCACTTGGGTGGCCGTTCGTTCAGCAGATTTGTTCGGGAAAAAAGAGTCATTCGAATGGCTGGGCTATAGAAACCAGCCATTCATACGAACGGGGACAAACAGACGAACGGGCAAAAATCCAGCAGACAGATGGTTCTGTCACACCTATTTACGGGAAATGTTCTTGGATAAGGATTTTGGGATGTTCTTGTTAATTGTCCAAGATTTCGGTATTTGTAATCATCTGGGTTTTATCCAATATGCATACATTATATAACACTGAATTATAACTAAAAACAGCTGTTTATAACTTGTGAAAAACAATGTCATTGTCACGCCCATATGCTCATTTTTTCCCCCTCCCATCCTGCTATGAAAATGGGGTATAAATATAACTGACGGAGGAATACAATTTGAATTGGTTATTGAACACGTCTCTGCTATTCATTTCCAATTTCCAGAGCTCTGAATGAGTTGGCAAATATCCATCATCCACAAAGGGCCCAGGCTGATTTTATCCCCAACATGGTCTTGGGTCCAGAGTGGGTGGAAGACGGCGAGACCCCAACCATAGTGTCTAGTGGAGTGCTTGGAGTCCTCGGGAAGCACTAGGAGCATCCGTGAACGGAGGTACCCAGTCGGGGTGCCAGGTGTTCCGTTACAACTGACTATTGGGAAATTGATACATGATATTCAAGTATTTCTTAAACAGGGTGTAGACCAATAATAGTACATTCTAAATACAAACAACACCAAGGCCCAATACCCACATGTACCCGGGTATAAAGGTTCTGGTGCAGCTTTCAGTCCATTGTTCTGGGTACTCAGAAAACTCAACTTATCTGGCCAAACAGAATGTAATGGAGCTCCTGTACTGAGGCTGAGTACCACCATGTGACGGACCACCTGGCACCCCGACTGGGTACCTCCGCTAACTGCTGCTTCCTAGCAACACCGAGTACTTCCAGCACTCCACCAGACACCATCAGCACTGCAGTCCCCATATCCAGCGTTACAGCTTTGCTGGGATCTTGCGGTCCTCCACCCACCCTGGACCCATGACCAGGATCCAGCTTCCAGTGGGTGAACCTCTCCTACTCCAGAGAGTATAGCAGGATAATTCTTACAAGAGCTAGTGATATAGCTGTTATAGCTGTTTCCTCCAAACATGAGATGAGACTCAAATTGAGGGTGAAGTAGAACTGACAGAGCTGTGGGTTTATTGTTCTTATATACACATTAGTACCACCCACACGGTTTTGGAAAACAACCAATAAACACGTACAATACACTCAGACACTCCCACACAAAATCCTCCCCTCTGCCTGTGATACAATTACCTTACACAATGGGTAATGTAATTATCAAAAGTATTAAAAGTATGCATCACATTCACATAAAACTCTCCGGCCAGGCAGCCTGGAGGGGCCTCGCACCCAGCGGCATACCGGGCTAGCCGCCGGGCCTCCTCCTGGTGTCACTGACACAGTTTGTCATAAGGTGATTTATGCGGCCGTGAGGCCCCAACAAGCGCGAGGCCTTAGGCGGCCGTCTAAACCACCTAATTAGAGAGCCGCCTCTGGTCCCATGCCCAAAACAGTTCCAGAGAATTAGGGCTAACAGTCTGTCTCTCTGTCTGGAGTACAAAAGTACATACTTCACATGAACAGAGCCTTTTAAAGTGCTTTGGGCAAGGTATATTGCAGGGCCCATAGTCCTGAGGCAAGAGGCTGGCCAACCTCAGTTCGTCACAGGGCCATAATCACAGGGTAGGAGGCTGGCAAACAGGACCCTCCAAAAGCCAGTGACGAGGTTACTTTTGTCACAATAGTCAATGTTCTTACCCTGGAGCTTGTTCATCTTGTTCGTGGGAACGTTTCCACTGAACAGTGCCCTTCTGAGTTGTGTAGAACCGAACGCAGGCAATGCTGGAAGTCCAACAGTGTCCGGGAGTTTCTGTGTCTGATTTCAGTTCCACGAGGTTCATGCCCAAACACTGCTGCCTGCATTCGTGGGAACAAGATGGGCGCCACCTCGTGGTTGTTCATGCGAACAGCGGTCACCCAGACGAACACTTAGAACACTGCGGTGGAAAGTGTTACAAACTGTCAATTGGGCTTAACAAGCTATTGGGTGGTCTCTGGTTCATGCGCCTGTTCTGCTCCTGAATCAAATATAAAATCCCAAGAACCAAGTCGGTTCACATAGTTTTTAACCCCTTAAGGACCAAACGTCTGGAATAAAAGGGAATCATGACATGTCACACATGTCATGTGTCCTTAAGGGGTTAAAGGGCCCATAGTCTTTTGGTAGAAGGCTGGCAAGCAGGCCCGTCCAAGAACACGTGGCAGAGGCATTTCTGACACACACCATTAAGTCAGCTTCCTCGCTACTACCTGGAGTGCTTCATACTCAGTCACTGAAGCTGGACTGAGTGACTGAGTGACAAGGCTGTGGAAGTTATAGCTCTCTTACCTCTGGATGTCCTTTCTGCTGTTGCCTTTTCTGTTCCATCACATGTAGATATCGACCACTCTACAAGTGCTATCTCCAACTACTGCCTTTGCAAAGGCACTTCTGGCTCTCAGGCCTAGCTCTTTGTCAACACATCCCTGGGACCAGGGACTAGAGCAGCCAGGAAGCAGGTGAAAGAACTCTGTAACTGGAATCCTCAAATAAACCAGACAGAACACACAGTTCCCAATAGAACTAACACACAATGCTTTATGTTCACTCAGGACTAGCCCATATCCACGTTGCATCTAACTTATGGTGATACACTGAAGCCAAAACATAAAATATAATTATATGGGGAATCCTACAGATACTCCTATAACACAATAAAATATTTATAAAGGGGTGAGCGAGACAAACACTGACTAGAAATGCATCCCCTGCCTGCATTAACCATAATATGCAAATCTACCTGAAAATGCAAATTAACGAGCCTTGCTATTCAAGTAAGCAACTGTTTCAAGATCATTAACAACCAACAGGTGGCGCTGCAGAGGCTGCACAGCCCAGTCTACATCTTTGGTACAGAACCATCAGCAGGACATGAGACCTTTAACAAATAAAAATAATGCACACCTTGCATCTGTAATGGGCACAGGGTGACTTAGACATTTGGGGAACCACAGGAGGTGTCAGTCAAATGCTCCCAGTGATGGTGACTACAGTCACAGATCTACATCCACAAGGATTGCACTCTCTCTATAAAGGGCAGCTGTGCCCACCTGCAGACTTAGCTGGTATCTGGCCAGTTTCAGGAGGAGAGATAGTTGGCATAATACTCCTGTTGGAGTCTTGATGGGACTAACCAGATTTAGTGAAACACAGGATTAACTGTTGGAACAGTGGGTATAACACACACCTCACACGACATTAGCTCTTGGTGTTTTCATCCACCACATATTCAGTAAATACATGATTCTTTATCGCTGTTAAATACATTTATTCATTAAAATTCTTGTCTCCCAGGTTTCAGCGATCTGACAATAACTGGCGTCCCTCCAAACACTCTGCTCTGTGAGTCTCCCAGTTGGTACCCACAACCTTCAGTTACATGGAGCAATAAGACTGGAAATACCACCAGCCTGGTCAATCTTACCAACACCACCTTCACACCTTCATTAGACAACATGTTCGAGGTGAACTCCAGCCTTAAGGAAGTCCAGCGGAATATTCAGTACACGTGTGTAATACAGAATCAGCTGGCCAAAGCTGAGGGAGATGTTATATGGACAGGTATGTAATATGATTGGGGAACATTTTAAATTTGGGTTAAATGGGACATGTACCATCCACAGACTACACACAACAAAGCATAGAAAAAAGGGAACTGGGGGGCACACCCAGAACATGTGGCCGTATGGTGGAACAGAATCCCATATTTGTTTGCTGAGATAAGTGAATTTAAGTTTTAAACTGTATTTTGATTGTATGTGCTCTTCCTTAATCTGTTCTTTGTATACATTTTGGTCTTTACGTCGGCGCCACTGTTTAGAAATGCATGTTCTGAATGTGCCCCCAATCCCTCTTTTTCTCTGTACATTTGGAATCCAGACCAGATTCCTATTGGGCTGAGGAACCAACCCCACCATATAGGTTCCCCTTTGGGGGTGACCACAGGAAAGCACAATTTGAGAGAGAGCCCCGGTGAGAGAATCAAGTAGAGACAGGGCTAAGAAACAGATCGGAAGAGAGGTGCAGACACAGAAGAGACTGCAGTACAGGGTGAGCTAAGGTGAAGTGCACGGTGTGTAATTATTATTATTATTATTTTATTATTTATATAGTGCCATCAGATTCCGTAGCGCTGTACAATGCCTCCAGGCTCTCCGTCTGTAAAGGCAGATTTACTCTTGTTGCAATTCATGTGATTCTATTAACACTCTCACAGCAAGCATGTCTCTAGCGTGAAAACACCCTGGCACCCTGAACACATACCAACATACAGTCACCCTTCTTCTCACATTCACCCACAAATTCAATTACATATATTTACCAACCCAGCCACATTCACTTAGTCACACTTACTCACCCTGTCACCCAACCACCATGCACCTTCCTGTTCACATACCCTTACCCACCTAATCACCTACACCTACCAAGCCACCGGTTCACATATCCTTACCCACCTAGTCACCTACACCTACCAAGCCACCGGTTCACATATCCTTACCCACCTAGTCACCTACACCTACCAAGCCACCCGTTCACATACCCTTACCAACCTTGTCACCTACACCTACCAAGCCACCTGTTCACATACCCTTACCCACTTAGTCACCTACACCTACCAAGTCACCTGTTCCCATACCCTTACCAACCTTGTCACCTACACCTACCAAACCACCAGTTCACATACTCTTACCCACCTAGTCTCCTATACCTACCAAGCCACCCGTTCACATACCCTTACCCACCTAGTCAAGTTCACACGGCTATTGGCTAGCTGGAGAAACTACACCACGCAAACACCATTCCGAGCATAAAAGAGATCTTTGTCAAACATGACACCAGCATGATGCACAGTGTCACAACATTGGCAAGCCAGCATCTCGATAGAGCAGGAGCGACATATAATGTGACACCCATCCACCATGCTGAGAGTTACAGGAGAGATTCTGAGACAGAGGGTGAGAGAGAGAGGGAGAAAGAGAGAGAGGTACTGAGACAAAGGGTGAGAAAGAGAGAGGTACTGAGACAAAGGGTGAGAGAGAGGGAGAAAGAGAGAGAGGTACTGAGACAAAGGGTAAGAGAGAGGGAGAAAGAGAGAGAGGTACTGAGACAAAGGGTGAGAGAGAGGGAGAAAGAGAGAGAGGTACTGAGACAAAGGGTGAGAGAGAGGTGCTAAGACACTGATCAAATTAGTGATGTACTGAGTAACAGGTATAGTTAGAGAAAAAACTAGAGACATGTGTGAATAGTCAGAGACAGACTGAGACAGACACAGCGAGACAGACACATGGAAAGTATGACAGAGATAGGGACAAGGCATACCGTTTGCACATTTTGCATGTTTTGTAATGATCTCCTTTAATTCAGAATGAAAATTGTTGGGTCTCCTGGAAGAGGTAGGTGATATAAAACAGATGTAATGACATTAAAGATTGAAATCAATGTATTTTAAAGCGTATTGTGCAAGGTTTGATGTGTAAGAGTAGACAGGAGCAATAAGTCACATAGATGAAGGTTACCAGTTTAGGGAACGGTTTACATGCTTTGCTTGGTGTGCATCGATGGCTGTTGGAACCTGTGGGTTGATGGGTCCAAGTAAACGAAGATTGATAAGCCGTGGCAGATGAGGATTGTTAAAGGACCATTATAGGCACCCAGACCACTTCAGCTCAATGAAGTGGTCTGGGTGCCAGGTCCATCTAGGATTAACCCTTTCTGCTGTAAACATAGCAGTTTCAGAGAACTTGCTATGTTTACTTTACGGTTAATCCAGCCTCTAGTGGCTGTCTCATTGACAGCCGCTAGAGGCGCTTCCGCGCTTCTCACTGTGATTTTCACAGTGAGAAGACGCCAGCGTCCATAGGAAAGCATTGAGAAATGGACTAACTGAATGCGTGCGTGGATGCACATTCAGACGATGACGTCGGAAGAGGGAGGAGAGTCCCCAGCGCCGAGGGAGCCCGGCGCTGGAGAAAGGTAAGAGTTTAACCCCTTCCTCCACCTAGAGCCCGGTGGGAGGGGAACCCTGAGGGTGGGGGGGGGGACTATTAACCCTATAGTGCCAGGAAAAATAGTTTGTTTTCTTGGCACTATAATGGTCCTTTAAGTCAGGGCAGATTAGGGTTTACAGGTTCTGGTAGGTGATGCTTTACCGATCCAAGCAGCTAATGTTTTTTGATCCAGGAAGCTGAAGGTTTGTGGAGTCATGTGAGTGAAGGTTTCTAGGACTTACTGTGTGTAGGTAGATTGTTCCGGGTGGATTGTGATCCTGTTTTTTATTTTGTTTTAATCTTTTTCTCTACAGCTTCTGGTGTCAAAACACAGACTCGTCTGGACATTATCAGCTCGGCACATATTCCGTTACCTCCTTTATGTCTACTTTGTGTCCTCTGCTTCCAGCTTTTGTCTCCCCTTGTCTAATGAGCACAATGTGGCCAGGTAACTAAAAGCCAAGAATCCACACAGATTCTTATCCACATACACGGATAAAACCTTATACACAAACAAAATAAGAGATTAAATGCATAAAAGACAATGAAGATTTGACCAGTTATGCCTTATCAAGCTTCAGAATTATACCAACAGTCTGGGATCAAGGATGAACAGGGGGCGTCACCTCCACCTTTTTTAATATTGATAAAAACAATGTGAAAAATATATAAATTAAACCAATAAAATGCTGATCTGTTTATTTGAATTCTTGTAGTACCAGAGGGGACCTAAGTATAAACCAGTCTGTTGGAGAATGCCATGAATTTGGCAAGCAATGAATACCATGCACAATCTATTTTTCGCTGTTTGGATGGATTAAATGGGTCACTGACTGGCTGTGGTCTATGATAACAGTTTGTTTTTCTGTGTATTTCAGAGCAGTGCAAGTTCACATTATGGACACACAGACATTTCCACATGGATGGAAAAACAGACATTTATTGAGACAAACATTAAGGTCCGTCTACAGCTTTTATTCTGGTTCTTTTCTCGGATCTTCGTATTGCACATCGACTGTCACAATTTGTTACTGCCTCATTGGGGGACCTCTACTGAGACTGTCCTGTCTGACGCTTCGTGGGAGTTTATCTGTGACTTTAGATGATTTGACAGATCCAGCAGAGATATCGACTTTCAACTCTACAAAACCATAATATGACCTACATGTCAAGGGCAATCCTATCTACAGCTTTAAACTTACTGTGATATAATAATGTTACCCACCCAGGGGCAATCCTAACTACAGCTTTACCCTAACCATAATGTTACCCACCCAGGGGCAATCCTATCTACAGCTTTAAACGTACTGTGATATAATAATGTTACCCACTCAGGGGCAATCCTATCTACAGCTTTAAACTTACTGTGATATAATAATGTTACCCACCCAGGGGCAATCCTATCTACAGCTTTACCCTAACCATAATGTTACCCACCCGGGGGCAATAATATCTAAAGCTTTACCCTTACCATGATATAACCCACCTGTGAGGCAATGTTATCCATAGCTTTACCCTCACCGTGAGATAACCCACCCAGGGGCAATCCTATCTACAACTTTACCCATACCGTGATATAATCCACCTGGAGCAATAAGATCCACAGCTTTACCCTTACCATGATATAACCCACCCGGGGGGCAATATTATCTACAGCTTTACCCTTACCGTTATATAACTCACCCAGGGCAATAATATCTACAGCTTAACCCTTACCATAATATAACCCACCTGGGAGCAATAATATCTACGGCTTTACCCTTATCATGATATAACCCACCCAGGGGCAATATTATCTACAGATTTACCCTTACCATGATATAACCCACCTGGGGGCAATAATATCTACAGCTTTAACTTTACCATGATATAACCCCCCCGGGGGGCAATATTATCTACAGCTTTACCCTTACCGTTATATAACTCACCTGGGGACAATCCCATCTACAGCTTTACCCTTACCATGATATAACCCACCCGGGGGGCAACATTATCTACAGCTTTACCCTTACCGTTATATAACTCACCCAGGGCAATAATATCTACAGCTTTACCCTTATCATGATATAACCCACCTGGGGACAATCCCATCTACAGCTTTACTCTTACCATGATATAACCCACCCGGGGGGCAACATTATCTACAGCTTTACCCTTACCGTTATATAACCCACCTGGGGGCAATAATATCTACAGCTTTACCCTTACCATGATATAACCCACCTGGGGGCAATAATATCTACAGCTTTACCCTTACCATGGTATAACCCACCCGGGGGGGGGCAATATTATCTACAGCTTTACCCTTACCGTTATATAACTCACCCAGGGCAATAATATCTACAGCTTTACCCTTACCATGATATAACCCACCCGGGGGGCAATATTATCTACAGCTTTACCCTTACCGTTATATAACTCACCCAGGGCAATAATATCTACAGCTTTACCCTTTCCGTGATATAATCCACGCGGAGCAATAAGATCCACAGCTTTACCCTTACCATGATATATCCCACCCGGGGGCAATAATATCTACAGCTTTACCCTTACCATGATATAACCCACCTGGGGGCAATAATATCTACAGCTTTACCCTTACCATGGTATAACCCACCCGGGGGGGGCAATATTATCTACAGCTTTACCCTTACCGTTATATAACTCACCCAGGGCAATAATATCTACAGCTTTACCCTTACCATGATATAACCCACCCGGGGGGCAATATTATCTACAGCTTTACCCTTACCATGATATATCCCACCTGGGTGCAATAATATCTACAGCTTTAACTTTACCATGATATAACCCACCCGGGGGGCAATATTATCTACAGCTTTACCCTTACCGTTATATAACTCACCCAGGGCAATAATATCTACAGCTTTACCCTTTCCGTGATATAACCCACGCGGAGCAATAAGATCCACAGCTTTACCCTTACCATGATATATCCCACCCGGGGGCAATAATATCTACAGCTTTACCCTTACCATGATATAACCCACCCAGGGTCAATCCCATCTACAGCTTTACCCTTACCATGATATAACCCACCCAGGGGCAATATTATCTACAGATTTACCCTTACCATGATATAACCCACCTGGGGGCAATAATATGTACAGCTTTACCCTTACCATGATATAACCCACCCAGGGGCAATATTATCTACAGCTTTACCCTTACCATGATATAACCCACCCGGGGGCAACATTATCTACAGCTTTACCCTTACCATGATATAACCCACCCGGGGGCAACATTATCTACAGCTTTACCCTTACCATGATATAACCCACCTGGGGGCAACATTATCTACAGCTTGGTGGGTTCATAGAACAATATGTCTGTCATTGGTGGAAGTGGATCACAGGAAGCAGAATCTGTGATCTGTGAATTTGCCCTTGCCCTAAAGTTGCCAGCCCTCCCCTGGCCACAAGTTCCGTTATTTCAGTCCAAGTCCTGAATAAAATGCCGGGTCCGTCATACATGAATGAGTCTGCTATTTCATGCTATATTCTTATAATGAAGAATATTTCACTTTCATTGTTATTTATTATCAAAATGCTCCACGTCACCTGTAAAATAAATCAATTTTTAAAGGAACACGTAACGTGTGTTTGTTGGTTTGTTTTCCCTCTGTTTACATTTCTGGGATAATTAGTCCTTATTTGGGTCCTATGAGAGGAGCTGTGACCCATGCGTGGTAATGAAACTGGGGGAGGGATACCTCAATCCTGGTTGTATTACATTATATAGAGCCATCATTTAAGATTTAGCATTGTCACTGTACCATGGACAAACAAGGGCAATAACAAACAGTTTACACTGTAACAAGGGCAATAACAAACAGTTTACACTGTAACAAGGGCAATAACAAACAGTTTATACTGTAACAAGGGCAATAACAAACAGTTTATACTGTAACAAGGGCAGTAACAAACAGTTTATACTGTAACAAGGGCAATAACAAACAGTCTGCACTGTAACAAGGGCAGTAACAAACAGTTTATACAATAACAAGGACAGTAACAAACAGTTTATACAGTAACAAGGGCAGTAACAAACAGTTTGCACTGTAACAAGGGCAATAACTAACAGTTTACACTGCAACAATGGCAATAACAAACAGTTTATACTGTAACAAGGGCAATAACAAACAGTCTACACTGTAACAAGGGCAGTAACAAACAGTTTATACTGTAACAATGGCAATAACAAACAGTTTCCACTGTAACAAGGGCAGTAACAAACGGTTTATACTGTAACAAGGGCAATAACAAACAGTCTGCACTGTAACAAGGACAGTAACAAACAGTTTATACTGTAACAAGGGCAGTAACAAACAGTTTGCACTGTAACAAGGGCAATAACTAACAGTTTACACTGCAACAATGGCAATAACAAACAGTTTACACTGTAACAAGGGCAGTAACAAACAGTTTATACTGTAACAATGGCAATAACAAACAGTTTCCACTGTAACAAGGGCAATAACAAACAGTTTATACTGTAACAAGGGCAGTAACAAACGGTTTATACTGTAACAAGGGCAGTAACAAACAGTCTGCACTGTATCAAGGGCAATAACAAACAGTTTACACTGTAACAAGGGCAATGATAAACATTTTACACTGTAACAAGGGCAATAACTAACAGTTTACACTGTAACAAGGGCAATAACAAACAGTTTACACTGTAACAAGGGCAATAACTAACAGTTTACACTATAACAAGGACAATAACAAACAGTTTATACTGTAACAAGGGCAATAACAAACAGTCTGCACTGTAACAAGGGCAATAACAAACAGTTTGCACTGTAACAAGGGCAGTAAAAAACAGTTTACACTGTAACAAGGGCAATAACAAACAGTTTACACTGTAACAAGGGCAATAACTAACAGTTTACACTGTAACAAGGGCAATAACAAACAGTTTATACTGTAACAAGGGCAATAACAAACAGTCTGCACTGTAACAAGGGCAATAACAAACAGTTTGCACTGTAACAAGGGCAGTAACAAACAGTTTATACTGTAACAAGGGCAGTAACAAACAGTTTACACTGTAACAAGGGCAATAACAAACAGTTTGCACTGTAACAAGGGCAATAACAAACAGTTTATACTGTAACAAGGGCAATAGCAAACAGTTTACACTGTAACAAGGGCAGTAACAAACAGTTTACACTGTAACAAGGGCAGTAACAAACAGTTTATACTGTAACAAGGGCAATAACAAACAGTTTATACTGTAACAAGGGTAGTAACAAACAGTCTGCACTGTAACAAGGGCAGTAACAAACAGTTTACACTGTAACAAGGGTAGTAACAAACAGTCTGCACTGTAACAAGGGCAATAACAAACAGTTTATGCTGTAACAAGGGCAGTAACAAACGGTTTATACTGTAACAAGGGCAGTAACAAACAGTTTACACTGTAACAAGGGCAATAACAAACAGTTTACACTGTAACAAGGGCAGTAACAAACAGTTTATACTGTAACAAGGGCAGTAACAAACAGTTTACACTGTAACAAGGGCAATAACAAACAGTTTATACTGTAACAAGGGCAGTAACAAACAGTCTGCACTGTAACAAGGGCAATAACAAACAGTTTATACTGTAACAAGGGCAATAGCAAACAGTTTACACTGTAACAAGGGCTGTAACAGTTTACACTGTAACAAGGGCAGTAACAAACAGTTTATACTGTAACAAGGGCAATAACAAACAGTCTGCACTGTAACAAGGGCAATAACAAACAGTTTACACTGTAACAAGGGCAGTAACAAACAGTTTATACTGTAACAAGGGCAGTAACAAACAGCTTACACTGTAACAAGGGCAGTAACAAACAGTTTGCACTGTAACAGGGGCAATAACAAACAGTTTACACTGTAACAACAGCAATAACAAACACTTTATACTATAACAAGGGCAGTAACAAACAGTTTCCATTGTATCAAGGGCAATAACAAACAGTTTACACTGTAACAACAGCAATAACAAACACTTTATACTATAACAAGGGCAGTAACAAACAGTTTCCATTGTATCAAGGGCAATAACAAACAGTCTGCACGGTAACAAGGGCAATAACAAACAGTTTATACTGTAACAAGGGCAGTAACACAGTTTACAATGTAACAAGGGCAATAACAAACAGTTTATACTATAACAAGGGCAATAACAAACAGTTTATACTATGACAAGGGCAGTAACAAACTGTTTATACTGTAACAAGGGCAATAACAAACAGTTTATACTGTAACAAGGGCAATAACAAACGGTTTATACTGTAACAAGGGCAATAACAAACAGTCTTCACTGTAACAAGGGCAATAACAAACTGTTTATACTGTAACAAGGGCAATAACAAACAGTTTATACTATGACAAGGGCAGTAACAAACAGTTTATACTGTAACAAGGGCAATAACAAACAGTTTATACTGTAACAAGGGCAATAACAAACGGTTTATACTGTAACAAGGGCAATAACAAACAGTCTGCACTGTAACAAGGGCAATAACAAACAGTTTATACTATAACAAGGGCAATAACAAACGGTTTATACTGTAACAAGGGCAGTAACAAACAGTCTGCACTGTAACAAGGGCAGTAACAAACAGTTTATACTGTAACAACGGCAATAACAAACAGTTTATACTGTAACAAGGGCAATAACAAACAGTCTGCACTGTTACAATGGCAATAACAAACAGTTTACACTGTAACAAGGGCAGTAACAAACAGTTTACAGTGTTACAAGGGCAGTAACAAACAGCTTGCACTGTAACAAGGGCAGTAACAAACAGTCTGCACTGTAACAAGGGCAGTAACAAACGGTTTATACTGTAACAAGAGCAATAACAAACAGTTTACACTGTAACAAGGGCAGTAACAAACAGCTTGCACTGTAACAAGGGCAGTAACAAACAGTTTATACTGTAACAAGGGCAATAACAAACAGTTTACACTGTAACAAGAGCAATAACAAACAGTTTACACTGTAACAAGTAACAAACAGTTTATACTGTAACAAGGGCAGTAACAAACAGTTTACACTGTAACAAGGGCAATAACAAACAGTTTATACTGTAACAAGGGCAGTAACAAACAGTCTGCACTGTAACAAGGGCAATAACAAACAGTTTATACTGTAACAAGGGCAATAGCAAACAGTTTACACTGTAACAAGGGCTGTAACAAACAGTTTACACTGTAACAAGGGCAGTAACAAACAGTTTATACTGTAACAAGGGCAATAACAAACAGTTTATACTGTAACAAGGGCAATAACAAACGGTTTATACTGTAACAAGAGCAATAACAAACAGTTTACACTGTAACAAGGGTAATAACAAACAGCTTACACTGTAACAAGTGCAATAACAAACAGTTTATACTGTAACAAGGGTAATAACAAACAGCTTAAACTGTAACAAGGGCAATAACAAACAGTCTGCACTGTAACAAGGGCAATAACAAACAGTTTACACTGTAACAAGGGCAGGAACAAACAGTTTACGCTGTACAAGGGCAGTAACAAACAGTTTAACTGTAACAAGGGCAATAACAAACAGTTTATGCTGTAACAAGGGCAGTAACAAACGGTTTATACTGTAACAAGGGCAGTAACAAACAGTTTACACTGTAACAAGGGCAATAACAAACAGTTTACACTGTATCAAGGGCAGTAACAAACAGTTTATACTGTAACAAGGGCAGTAACAAACAGTTTACACTGTAACAAGGGCAATAACAAACAGTTTATACTGTAACAAGGGCAGTAACAAACAGTCTGCACTGTAACAAGGGCAATAACAAACAGTTTATACTGTAACAAGGGCAATAACAAACAGTTTACACTGTAACAAGGGCTGTAACAAACAGTTTACACTGTAACAAGGGCAGTAACAAACAGTTTATACTGTAACAAGGGCAATAACAAACAGTTTATACTGTAACAAGGGCAATAACAAACGGTTTATACTGTAACACGAGCAATAACAAACAGTTTACACTGTAACAAGGGTAATAACAAACAGCTTACACTGTAACAAGTGCAATAACAAACAGTTTATACTGTAACAACGGTAATAACAAACAGCTTACACTGTAACAAGGGCAATAACAAACAGTCTGCACTGTAACAAGGTCAATAACAAACAGTTTACACTGTAACAAGGGCAATAACTAACAGTTTACACTGTAACAAGGGCAATAACAAACAGTTTACACTGTAACAAGGGCAATAACAAACAGTTTACACTGTAACAAGGGCAATAACAAACAGTTTACACTGTAACAACTGCAATAACAAACAGTTTACACTGTAGCAAGGGCAATAACAAACAGTTTACACTGTAACACTTGCAATAACAAACAGTTTACACTGTAACAACAGCAATAACAAACAGTTTACACTGTAACAAGGGCAGTAACAAACAGTCTGCACTGTAACAAGGGCAATAACAAACGGTTTATACTGTAACAAGGACAGTAACAAGCAGTTTATACTGTAACAAGGGCAATAACAAACAGTCTGCACTGTAACAAGGGCAGTAACAAACAGTTTATAATGTAACAAGGGCAATA